CAGAGAAGGGATTGCTCAGTGGCTTTCATCAAAACCACAGGTAGGGCTGTCCACCCCCACTTCCCCGGGTGGTATAATGAAAGGCGAGGCTCCATTATCCCAAAATAGGTTAAAGTAAGGCTTGCCTGTCCACTGGGGGGGTTGCCCTTTTCTCTGGCATGGCAGTCTCTTTTAGTGTTAATAATAACAGCAACCACTTCCATTTATTATGTATTCACTAAGTTCCTGGCTCTGTGCTAGGCGCTTTCACACATATTAGCTCATTTAACCCTCCCGACAACCCCATCAGGTAGATGGTTTTTTTACACCTCCTGTAGATGAGGAAGCTGAGGCTAAGGAAGCAGGTTGAGTGATTTGCACTTGGTCACGTGGCTTGTAAAGGGCAAAGCAGGGATATTCACCCAGGTCTATCTGATGCTTGTTTTAGCACTGTTGTTGACTAAAGACCCGCTTGCCTGGGGTCCAGCTCCCCTCATGGACAGGAGGCCTTGCCGGTATTGAGGCGCTTGGTCATTTCTCAGCCTGACCCAGAAGGAACATGGATGAAGCCAGCCTTGCCCTGGCCACCCCAGGAAGCTCACGGGAGGCCGCAGCCCAGAGCAGGGCTAGGTCTGGACAGCTCCTCAGGTAGAGTCCCTGATCCACTGGCCTTGTCACAGTAGCCCCCTGTCAAAGCCACAGTGGAAAGGACACTGCTGGCCCATTAGTCTTCCAGTGATGGAGTTAGTGGAGGGTAGGGAGAGTGGGAAGGTGGGAGAAAAAGAAGGAAGGAAGTAGAATTCTTCCCTCCCTGCACAAATGCCCGGAGGGTTTGGCTTTCCTGCAAGGGACACACCATCCTTGTCCCAGAGGTAGATGCAGGGTGGGGCCGTGGAGAGAAACCTGGATCCAGCAGCCAGCTTGTGTGCCTCTTACCAGCAGTGTGACTGTGGACACGGCACCGTCCCGCACATCTCAGCCTTGTCTGTTAAATGGCAACAATGACTCAGTCTCCATCAGCCTCATGTTAGGGCGCGCTTTGCAGACAGCTTCCACCCTGGGGTCAAGGGCTTGATCCTTCACCTGGTAACCAGTAGGGGGGACTTCAGGTGGGGAGTTCTGAAGTCTGTCCCCAGGATCTGGAGACACCAGCACGAGAGACTTACTCTCTTTCTACACTTCCTGTCCCTCCTTCACCCCTGCTGCTGTTTGGGTGGCACTGAGTGTTTCAGCCCTAGATGAATAACTGACACTCTCCCTCCCTGGGAGTATCCTATGAACGAGACTGGCTCCCAAAAGAGGGGAGACAGCTGTGGGTATGCCCAATAATACTCCCCACCTGGGCTCCCCCTTGTCCCCAATAAGAAAGCTAGTGTAATGGGTAGGAACAGGAGCTCGGGCTCCAGGCATCCCGTCCTTGGGCTCCCAATCACTAGCTGGTTATTTCCCATCTCCATGCCTCAGTTTTCTCATCTGTGAATTGGGAATAATAACTATGCCTTGACCTCATAGGGTTAGAGTCTGGATTAAATGAGATAATACATGTAAAGAATTTGGAACTGTGCCTAGCGTTCAGTACTCACGCTGTGAATGTTAGCAGCAATATCCCTCGTCACTGGGCTCCCTCTGGTTCCTCCTCCCTGGCTCCTAACAGTTCTCTTTAAAAGCTCATTTCCACAACCATACTCCACCCTTGCCTGGGCTCCCCCTCTGAAATCTCAACCTCCCACTCTCTCTCTCTCTCTCACCCGCCTCACTCTCACCTGTCCTTTGACTTCTCTGAGCCCCAACTTGTGACCCCTTCCCTTTCCTCCAAGTCTATTGCCAACTTCCCAGCCTCCCTCCTTCCCAGCCCAGCCTCATCCTTCGGTGCATCATCTCAGACCCCCTGGCCAATATCTTCTGTGCCATCTGGTCCTGCCCTCATGGTAACTCTGCCATCCCCCAGCCTTAGGTGGGCCCAGTGTCACGTCTGTGATGCGATATCTACAGCTGGAGAAAACAAACCACATCACCACGCAGGCTGATAACAACTCCGATCTATGGTCTCAACCTCAGCAGAGCCCTTGGGCCACAGACTTGCCTGTCCCTAGTTATGTCCCCTGCCCTCTGCTACCAGGCCCTTATTTCTCAGTAAATGACCTTGCCCTCCACATCCCTGGTGGCAGGGAACCCATAATACAGCATGAACCAACTCCTTTTCCTTTGAGTATTTCTCTCTGCTTCTGTCTTCATGGCTCCTGAGAAGGGGATCCGACTCCTGCATCCCGTTTCTGCACTCCTCAGGACTCCGCCTCATCAGTCACCTCTCTCCTTTTTGCCTAATTCTATCACCAGAGTCACCAGGGGTCTACAAATGGCCATGCCAGGGGACACTCCCATCCTTATTGAGCCTGATCTGTCCTCTGCATTTGACCACTTCCTCCTTCAACCTCACTTCTCCCTGGGGGTCTCTCCCTCTTTTCCAGTTTTCCTCCCACCTCCTAGAATCTCCTTTCCAAACCCTTTTCTGTCCACTTCCCTCTGCCCACCCCTTACATGCTGTGGTCCCCAGAGCTCTCTCCAAGATAGGTCCCTTATTTTTGAGACAGATAACCAGGAATCTAAAGCAAGTGCTGCACCTTCCGGCCTCCTGAACAATTCCCTCATCAGCGCCCTCCTTTCTAAACCCACTGCTTAGCTCTGGCCTTCACATCCTGCCTGGGCTATCTCAGAGCCTCCTGCGGAGTCTCCCTGCCCCGAGTCATGCCTGCTCTAGTTCATTTCCCACAATGCAGTTGGCTGCTGGTTTTCAAATATGAACTGACTGCCGCACACCTCTGCTCAAAATTTTTTTCAGAGCTCCTCAGAGACACTAGGGTAAAACTCAGATTCCTAGAGCAGGTCCCTGCACACCTCCCTCCACCGCCATCACACTCTCGTATCTTTCTCATGACAAACAGACCACATCTTATCCATATATTTCTCAAATGCCTAGCGTGTTGCCTGATTCATAAAAAAGCACATTCGTGCATGGGGGAGGGGAGGTCTAATCATCCTCTACTACTTAGTTCCTTCCAAACAAGCAACTTGCCATTCAAGTGAATGGTGGACTGAATGAATGAATGGTCTGTGTTACTAACTTTTATTTTTATTATTATTTTTTTTAATGGAAATTTTATTGGGGGAACCAGTGTATTTTTCCTGGACCCATCAGCTCCAAGTCAAGTCATTGTCTTCAATCTAGTTGTGGAGAGCGCAGCTCCTTGGCTTATGTGGGAATCGAACCAGCAACCCCGGTGTTATGAGCACTGTGCTCTAACCACCTGAGCCAACCTGCTGCCCCTGTGTGACTAACTTTTAGAAGCTTTTCAGAAACCCCCTCTGCCTCTTGCCAAGGTCCTGGTCTAGGCCTCTTCATCTCTCGCCTGCACTCCTGCAAAGGTCTCCTCTCATGAATGCCAGACTCAGAGGGGCCCCTTTGGTCCCTCCTCTCACCCTGCACGGATCCACCAAAAGGAAATCTGATAACACCCCTCTCTGGCTCCAAACCCTACAGTGTACATACTCCAACATGAGTGAAGCTTGAAAACGCAATGCCGAGAGAAAGCAGCCGGTCCCAATGGAGCACATACTGTATGATTCCATTTACATGAAATGTCCAGAAGAGGCAAATCCATAAAGACAGAAAGATTAGTGGTTGCTTAGGGCTGCGAGGGATCAGGGTAGGGTAGAGAGTGGTGATAGAAAAAAAGTTATGGGGTTTCTTTTAGAGGTGAGAAAAATGTTCTAAAATTGAGTGTGGTTATGGTTGCACTTATCTGTGAATATATGGAAAATCATTGAATCGTATACTTTCGTTGGGTGAATTGTATATTTGAATTATATCTCAAAGCTCTTAAAAAAAAACGCAACAGGGCCGGCCAAATGGCGCATTGGTTAAGAGTTGGCTTGGGACATCAGCTCTGAGCAGCAGGGCCCTGGTTCGGATCCCACATGAGGGCCAGTGACACTGCCCTCTACAGCTAAGATGCTGAACAACAGCTCGACCTGGANTCCCCAATTTAAAGAAAAAAAAGTGAATGAAAGCAGCTAGAACTGGATGTTTTCTCCTTTATGCTCAATATATTTCCCACTGTTCCCACAACATACACACACACACACACACACACACACACACACACACAGGTACATGCAATCACACAGAAACACATGCCTCAAGCAGGATTTCACACAGAGCATTGGCCCCAGATATCTGAACATTCATGTCCACCCATCCAAGGATGTCAGTCTCAATGGGTCTCAGAATGGGAGGCAGGGAATCAGGTCAAAGCCCAGACTTGTTCCTGAGAGTCACATTCCATGGCCACCTCTGCTTCCACCTTCATCAGATGCCCCTTAGCTCCTTGATGCCACTCTAGAGAGAGTTGACTCACTGCTCTGCTCATCAGCCTTGCCCAGCCCCTCAGAAAAGCCTGGCCCCTGGGCTCAAAGGTGGGTAGGCCGGGAGGCAACAGGTGGACATTTAAGTCCCAAAATGGCCAGGTGGGAGAGGTGGTTTGGTGGGTGGGAGCCCTCCCTTACTCCCCACCCCCAGCCAGTGGCCTCTCCCAGAATTACCCCTATTTAGGGCATAGTTGGACACATGAGAGCTTCCAGAGAATTCTACTGAACAGATGGTCAGGAGACTTGCTCTAGTTCTGCCATCAACTTGCTACGTGACCTTATGCCAGTCACGCCCCCCTCTCTGCACCCCAGTTTCAGCAGGTCCAGAGATGGGGCTGACCACATCCTTAGTCTCCCAGGTCCCACTTCCCCTCTCCAAATAATGTCCTCTCCCACAGTGCCCTTCACAGTGCTCAGCCACACCGGGGGTTTTGCCATGACCCAGTGCCCCCATGTATCTACCTGTGGGCTCCAGTCAGGGCCCAACATTCCAGGGTGAGCCTCCAGGCCTCAAGCCCCTCAGGCCTTCCTGCCACCCTGGGTCACTGAGCCCAGTGGAATCCTGGTAGCCGACAGAAATGATAGCTTCCTTTTTATTTGGCTGCTTCTGATTTCCTCTCCCAGGTCACAGACTTAGGGCATCAGCACAGGCAGGGGCAGGGGACCCCGCACTGTGCCATCAGACCACACCCTACATACAAGTCTCCCTGTCCAAAAGCTCCCATTTTTCTAAAAAGCTGCAAGAGAACATAGGAGTCAGAGGCACAGAAATGCAAAAGTCACTTTCCAAGAAGAGTTCATCAAGTCCGAATGTAAGAAAGAGCCAGGCAGGATCCTTGCTGCTCCTTTCTCCAAGCTGCCACCCCAGATTGGGATTGTGGAGAGTGAGGTACGCAGCCCCAGGCTCCAGAGTACCTTCCCACTGGCAAGTCCAACACTGCCTTTCCCCCTCAGGCTTCAGCCGATTCAGTTTTGCTCCATCTGGAACGCTCTCTGCAGTCTTCCCGTTTGTAGTCATCCTGCCACTGGCTCCCCCCAGGCCAGCCTCCCTCCACCTGCCCGTGGCCAGGTCAAGGGTGCTGGTGGTCCAGCACAGGGCCCGCCCGCGGGTGGCCCAGCGGCCAGGCAAAGGGAGCTCCTGGACATCGGCGCCAGCTTCCCGCGGAGGCCTGGGACAAGCCCTGCGCCTCCGCCACCAACCTGGGCCGTCCCAGGGGCGTGTGCGGGGAGCACGAGGCGCAGCGCGGCGCAAAGAGCCTGGCGGGCGGCGGCGCGAGCCGCGGTGAACTGGAGCCGTTGTCCCCGGCGTCCCCGGCTCCCCCAGCGCGCGCGGCCTGGCCATGGCACTCCAAGTGCCCGCAGGCCCAGCGGGGCGCGGGGCTGGCACGCAGGACCAAGGAGAGCGCCGTTATGCGGTGGATGGCCCTGCGCAGCGTGGCGATCTTGGAGAGCCTCTTGCCGCCCAGGTCGTGCCGCAACGCCCGGCGCAATGCGTTGAAAGCCTCATTGTAGTCCAGGATGCGCTTGCGCTCCCGCACGTTGGCTGCCACGCGCCGCGCCTTGGACCGCACCGGCCGCGTGCGCTTTCTGCTGCTCGGTACCTCCTCAGCCTCTCCCAGGCCACGGGGGGCGCCGTTCTCCCTCAACACCCCAAAATCCCTCCCGGCCTCCAGGCAAGAGTCCCCCCAGTCCTTGGCAGAGCCATCCGCCCCCTTCAGGCCCCTGAGGCCTGGTCCTGGCACGCCTCGGTGCATGGCCTTCTCCAGGGCCTTGTTGCTCAGGCTCGTAAAACCGACAGTCCACCTCCCCAGCGTTTGCTCCTGCAGGCTGGACACTCCCAGGATGGGCCCTCTCCAGCTGGGCTTTATGGCACCACGTGGCTCTCTGCCTTCCCTATCCATCCATCTCCCTCCTCCAGCTTTATTACCTGCCTCCAGGTAGGTTGGCGAGGGCGGGACCAAGAGGAAGGAAGCAAGGAAGGGAGGAAACATGCAGATTCTTGTATGAGGGGACAAGACAGGCAGCCAGGCCACGCCCAGGACAGTGCTCCAGCCCCAGGGAGAACTTGCCTTGCTTCACTCCAGGGCTTCTTCTGGGGTGGCTGGGTTCTACATTCTTCCTCCCCACCCCAAATAGAGTTACGAATTTGGCTCCTGGGCAGGGGAGCACAGAAAGGTCGCAGTGGTAGTTGAATGTATTTCAAGAGCCTTGGAAAGTTGCCGTCAAGTACTGTGGGCAACCACAGAGCAGTTGTTGAGGAAAACATGACTGTTCCAGCAGGACCCATGAGGGAGGGGTAGACCTGATACTGCAGCACCCTGCAGGTTAAGAGGGGCCTGGAGTGTCTGGCTTTTGCAGCTACCAGAGTGAGGCTGTGGAATTCTGGGTTTGGGTTTTGATTAGGCCTTACTCTCCCCTACCTCCCCCTGGCTCCCCTTTCTGCAGACAGAGCTGGGCTGAGTCAGCAGCAGAAGGTGACTTGTGGTCTTTTGGACCCCCTTGTGGTACCCATTAGGGGCATCTTTGCGGGGGTCAGGGCCCCTGGACAGCCCTGCCTCATGAGACAGCACTGCCATGTTATGAACTCAGTAAACCACCTGGCACCCTCACCCCCCAAGGACCTTAAACAAGGTCTCAGTAAAATAGCAATGCTTAATCCTAGAGCAAGACCCCCAGTGGAATTTCAGGCATCCCCAGGTGACTTATTTGGAGCACCAAGGTCAATCTCCTTCCCAGCCATGATCCAAATGCCCCCAAAATGCCAAAGCCTGCTGTGGTGTAGGCTGGGATGGGCATGGGGTTCCCATCCATCTTGCCAAAAAGTATACCATTGACCCCATTATTTCAAACTGGATTACTCCATGAAAGGAAAGGACCAGGCACTAGGAAAGAAAACTGTATTTATTTGTATGATTATTTGTTTTATTGTCTATTTCACCCACCAGACTGTAAGCATCCAAGGCTGTTTGTGTTTCTGAAGCTATATTCCCCAAATCTGAAATATCTGTGAAATTAAAAAGTGAATGAAGTGGGGCGGCCAGTTAGCTCAGGTGGTTAGAGTACAGGCTCATAACATCAAGGTTGCTGGTTCAATTCCCTCATGGGCCAAGGAGCTACGCCCTCCACAACTAGATTGAAACAACTACTGACTTGGAGCTGATGGGTCCTGGAAAAACACACTGTTCCCCAATTTAAAGAAAAAAAAGTGAATGAAAGCAGCTAGAACTGGATGTTTTCTCCTT